ATTGATTTCCTCGAGCAAACACCAGTGACATCTCCATTTGTCCTAGCCCTGAGATTTTAGCAAGTGCCACGTTGGAGGCTCTTTCAGGGTCGGGGAATGAGACCGATCATTATTACTGGGTTTTGGCATATTGAATATGCCATGTGGATCTTGCCAGACTCTGGTGTGAGGGCAGGATACTCTCGGTAGCCTGCCTGGTTCTCCGAAAGTAAGAACTAGACAATAAGAGGTCTGGAAGCTTGGTTTTATAGTCTCTGGATCTTGGCTGTTGATGGGATTACATGGCACCGGGGCAAGTGGTTGGTGTAATGCCTAGCTACTGGAAGATGGGGGATCTTGGTGGAGGAGGCCCAGTCCTGATCCAAGCAGGCTTAGAGATCTCAGCCCCAGGTCCCACACATCTGGGTTCCTCTGTTAGTTCCTTCATGTGTGAGGCTCATCCAAGCATGTGGAGAGTGTCTTGAGCATGTCTGTGGCTGGTTCTGGAGCTGCCGGAGCTCTGCCCAAGGCAGCAGGGAAACTCAACCCGCCCCCCTCCAAGGGACACTGGTGAAGACACCAGGTGTGGGGGCAGGAGACTCTGTCTATCAGTGTCCCTGCAAACACATGGAGCGGTGAGTATGAGGCTTTGACCGTGAGGAGTTCGAACTGGAGAAACCCAAGGCTTATAGCCCAGACCTGCACAAAGGCCAAACCAACCACCCTGTGGTAGAGGGCCAGTCCCCTGCCGTTTCCTCAGTTCCCTTTAAAGTGAAGGCTGATCTTCTGAAGCAATCATGGAAAGAAAGTGCCAAAAGCAAAAAAGGTTTCCCTACGTACCCCCAGAAGGAAGCGAGCTTAAGTCAGACGACATGGATTTAGGTAGCAAAGATGATTATGAGAGAGATGGAATCTGCCATAGCCCAGATTACCCAGGGAAATACTCCAAAGAGGAGAGCAAGAGCTCAGCATCGGGTATCACAGGCAACAGGGATGACCCCCAGGAGGCTTTAGCCCTACTGTTGCTCAGCTGCTCCAAGAGAAGACCCTCTATTTCTTCTCTGAGTGACAAAAGGATCACGTGATAATCAACCGCCTGGATAATATCTGCCATGTGGTGTTGAATGGGAAGTGGCCCTCTAGCCAGCAGTAGGAACCCTGGGGCACGTACCCACCCCTGCATCAACCAGCAGTGCCGACTCTTGGAGCAGCCTGTCCGAGCAAGAGGCATGGGAACATGGCTTCAGCGTCCCAGGTCCACAAGGAGAACTTCCTGAGTCCAGGATTCACAAAGGAAGAACAAAATCACAGGCGTCCTTATGAGTTTGAGGTGGACAGGGATGCAAAGGGCCAGAGCTTGTAACAGTTCTCTGCTACCCATGGGCGCCCACCCCCCCATCATCCTCAATGGCTGGCATGGGGAGTTGGCCATTGACCTCTCCTGTACATCAGAGGAGTCCCCAGGAGGCACATTTCCTTTCCCAGTGAGTGCCAGCACCCTGAAGGTTGGGACCATCAGTTTACTTCAAGGAGCCCGTGGCATGGACTTCTCTGGGATTCTCCAAGCTGTGACCACCCTGTGACTGGGCAGATTATCAATGGAAGCTCAGAAGAGACGACACTGCCCTGCGGAGGTGGAGAGGGAGCTGGAGACATGTCGAGGGAGGGATGGACCTCATCCTTCTGAAGGAGCAAACACTCCAGTCAGGAATCTTGGAAGTCCATGAAGACCCTGCACAGGCCATCCTGAGCGCCTCCCACGCTGAGGGTCTCGTGCCTGCCTCCTTGGCCCCTGAGCCAACCCTGGTTCCCAGTGCCCAGGCCGAGAAGCCCATCCCCAGCTCAAGATCATGTTAGGGAAATTGTCTTGATATTTACATAAAACCTGGGGGATGCCCTGGGGCTCACCCAATGATGCCAAACTGCAGAATTTTATTTACTTATTTATGTTTGTTTGGGGGGCCACGCCTAACAGTGCTCAGGGCCTGTACTCAGAGATCATTCCTGAAGTGCTTGGTGGGCCATATGGAGTTCTAGGAATTGAAGGGGGTTAGATGCATGCAAGACAAGCAAGCATCTTACCTCCTGTACTAGCTCTCCAGCCCAACTTTTAAGTTAATTTTATTAAAATACGATGTGTTTGGGCTGGATAAACAGTCCAGGGAAGGCGTTTGCTTTGTAGGTACCTGACAGGATTTGATTTCCAGAACTCCAGAGGATGCCCCAAGTCCTTGACCAGAAGTGGTCACTGAGCACAGAACCAGAAGTGGCCCTGAGCACTGCTGGGTGTGGCCTCCAAACTGATCATGATCAAGATCACAATCATCCTGTTGTTCGTCAGTTGCCTCGAGCAGGCACCAATAACATCTCCTTCACCCTAGCCCTGAGATTTTAAAAAGTGCCATATTCAAGGCTCCTTCAGGGTTAGGAGAATGAGACCCATCATTGTTACTGGTATTTGGCATATTGGGTACACCACGGGGAGTTTGCCAGACTCTGCCATGTGGGTAGATTACATTCGGTAGCATGCCACGTTGTCCAAAGTAGGAGTGAGATAGTAAGATGTTGTGTGGTGGCATTCACTTCTGGGAGCTATGTTTTATAGTCTCTGGGCCTTGGCCACTGATGGGATTACACGGCATGTTGGGGGAGCAGTTGGTGGGTGTGACCCTTGCCTACTGGAATATGGAGGATCTGGGTGGAGGATGCTCAGCCCTGATCCGAGCAGGCTTGGCGATCTCAGCCCCGGGACCTGCATGCCTTTGTTCCTCTGCCGGTACCTTCATGTGTGTGGAGAGTGGTCTCAGCATGGTTGTAGCTGGTTCTGGAGGTCTTCAGCTGCCGGGCTCTGCTGGGTGTGGGGGAACTCAACCTGTCCCCCTCCAAGGGGACCCAGCAAGGACAGCCAAGCGTGGGGGCAAGAGATTCTGCTACCAGGTCCTTTTTTTTTCTCTCCAAACCAAAAAATAAAATAACTGTGTTGTAATTTTAATATTGGGGGTGGGGTGGAATGTTGTACTTTCGGTGGTGTGTTGTGTGCTTTTGTTATTGTTTCAGGGGTCACCCCCAACAGTGCTGCTGTTATGATTAGCACCGTATGTACGAAAGGCACACACTCAGCACTTAGCCAGTCTCTGGATGCTCAGGGTGTGTCTTTAGCTACCTTTCATGCTCTATGTCTTCCCTGTAGTATCTCTGTTAAGTGTAAGGACATTTGTGTCAGAACCTTGTCAGGAAGACAATGGAGACAAGGTCAGGAGGATTGCTCCATGGTTGGAAGCTTGCCTCAAGTGCTGGGGGAGAAGGCAGTTGGGATGGAGAAGGGATCACTAAGTCAGTGATGGTTAAAGGAATTGCTGGGGATGGAAGATGTGTGCTGAAAGTAGATAAAGGATCAAACACAATGGCCTCTTTGTATCTGTATTGCTAACCATAATAGCCAAAAGTAGAGAGAGAGTGAGAAGGAAATTGTCTGCCATAGAGGCAGGGAATGGGGTAAGGTGGGGGTGGCTGGAGGGGTCCTGGAGACATTGGCAGTGGAAAATGTACACTGGTGGAGGGATGGGTGTTTGATCATTGTATGACTGAAACTCAATCATGAAAGCTCTGTATCTCATGGTGTTTAAAAAAAAATAAAACAGAAACTTGCTCAGGATGGGGCTATGAATCATACTAGCAGATATTTTAAAATATCACATTTACTGTGTTCATGTAATAGCAAAGCATTTCTTGCTTTTTGGATATAGTTATAAAACAAGATTCTAATGGTAGGAATTATCTCTAAGAAGCAAAGTTATGATCTGAATTAGGTGTTGGGATTAGACCCACAGGAGTATCTATCCAGCATATGTTTACTACTGTTAATTGCTATTCTACAAAAAACCGAGGAATATTGACAATGTATTTGCTTTTGTGTGAATACAAAATTTCATTTCTGTTCCTCAGAAAAAATTTGTAGCCCACATACTTCTCTGTGGCATATGGTCCTCAAATAATTTACTTCAATAACGAACTAATAAAATAAGAAAAAAAATTTTCTGATATAGCTTCCACACCATGGGATAGTTCATAGACATTCTATTATTTAGTCTGTTTCTTAGTTAATAAGTAGCGTGTTGAGTGGACATACTTAATATTCTGTTGTAAGTTTTGTAAATTATTAAGCAAAGAATTAATGCTTGAGAAGATTGCATTTTGTCACTGGAAATATGTAGTTTAATCAATATGGTTTTGTTTGTTTGGGGCTACTTCAGGCTCTATGCTCAGGAATCACTCCTGGTGGGCTCCGGGGAACCATATGCAGTGCTGGGGATTGTACTGGGGTGGTGCTTACAAGGCAATCCTGTGCTACATCACTGACCCAAGGGTACACTTTCTCTTCTTTCTTTGTCTTTGACCATGTCACCCTGAACATGTCAGATCTCATTCTTTCTTCCTTTGTTTTGATGCCACAAAAGAATTTATGATGACACACACTGCAGGAAACATCTCTGTCCAAGCCCATGGAGAGACCCTCCCTAGGGGACCTCTCTCTTGCCTCTTGCCTTGAGGACCTTTTCCTTTTCCTTTCAGGTACTGAATCTTCTCTGTCAGGGAGGCTGGCTGCCTTCTCAGAGCCTGGTTCTTCTACCATTGCTACCCCCTCTTCTTCTCGTGCTGCCTGGTGGTCACAGGGGCCCGGGTGCTCAGAGTCAAAGAAACGGGGTGAAGGTTACAGGGTCAGCTCCATCACTACCTTGCTGCCCAGCTCTTAGCTAAAGGAATGAACTGCAGTGGAGGGCAGTGGCGCTGGGGAGAGTTTGCAGGTGGATGAAGGGGACAGCCTGATCTATTTTCAGGAAACTTTCTGGAAGATGGCCAACTGGGTTCTCTCTCTGCAAGGGGGTTAGGGAGAGGATGCATTTTCTTCTAACAACTGTGCCAGTAAATCAGTTCTTAGTGTACTGCATGCCTGTCAGGGAATGTAGAATGTTTCCAGAATGAGCCAGGTATGTATTCTCACAAGCGTTTTCGTGTTCCAGGACCCGACCTGCAGGTTTGCGTAGCCAAAGATCCAACATGTTGCACCAGGAAGATGGAGGAGCGCTACCAGGTCCTTGCTCGCCGGGATATGCAGCAAGCGCTGCAGACATCTAGCTCGACCCTGAAGTTCCTAATCTCTCGGAATGCGGCTGCCTTTCAAGGTAAATGTTTCTGGTGTCACAGCCCAAGGTCAAGCCTTAGCATGAAGTTTGCCTTTTCTCGTTGTCCTGGTACACTTGAATGGTCTTTAGTTTTGGGCAGGTGGGGAGGGGGAGGAGGGATATTATATTATTCTGGTGTGAAATAAGTTTGAAGCCTTTCCTAACCTTCAAAATTTGTTTCTGGGGTCATCCTTGATTTTATATATTGAGTTGAACTGACAAAGTGTAGTTTTGAGGTAGTCCTTTAAAAAAGGGCATTTTGGTTTAGGACAGCTCGACCTCTTTGATGTCCAAGACTCACTACACCCACCCAAGCTGCTCAAGTCAGCTCATTATCAAAGTATCAAAGGGACCCTTCTTTCATCCTTCCTCCCCACTTTCGTTTTTCAGGGTGTCTTTTACTTCCTTTTTGTTTCACTAAGAATATTTGTCTCCAGTCTCATTTGTATTTGTTTCTTTTTCTCCCTGAAACTGTTCCCCTCTTTTTTTGGGGGGGGGGTTTGTTCCATGTGGATATCGTGGACATCGGGCTCTACTCAGGTTACTCCTGACTCTGCACTCAGGAATTACTCCTGGCCATGCACGAAATACCATTTGGGATTCCTGGGATGTGCCCTATCTGCTATAGTATTACTCTGGTTTCAGTTTCATATCTTTTCATAACAGAGAAGTATTGGGGGGAACCTATTATATTAGTGAAATGGTCCTTGAAAATTTATAACCTTCTAGGGATGTTTCTTGGCCTCCTGATATTCTGATCCAAAGTCTTACTTCAGCATGAATGAATATCACCATTGGGTTTTATTGAAATATTCTGTTACATGAAATCTCATTGCTTTATAAATGTTTAATTATAAATTTATTAGAAATATGAATTGAATAAATAATTTTATTATCCACCCCCTCAGCTTCATGTTGTTTTCAAAACACCAGTATGATTAATCAAAGTGCAGAACAGTCTGATAAATAGTAAACTAGAAAATATTGGCTGTTTAAGGGTCAGCTAAGAGTAGAATTCAATCTTAATTCAAGCAGTATGTTTAGAAATAAAATTAATGGGTTATGAAATTACTAAACACATTGGAAAATAGATTTTTTGTTATTTTAGTCATCTCCTCTATAAAATTACATACTGTGGTTATAAAGTATCTTAATTTATTTTCCTTTAGTAAGGCATTAGCCATTCTGTATATGATTAGACTGACAATATATATAGGTTACACTGCTTTTCAAACAAATCTATTGCTATTATTAAAGGCAAAATTTAGCCCTATTATGTTCTTTTATAATTAGTTTAGTAATGCCAACATATTTAAATAATATTCTTTGTGTATGTTTATAACTAAATATTAAAGTTGATTAATGTTTAAAAGTACTTGCTAAATAAAATAAATATCAAATCAGGATTCAGTTTTGTATGATTGAAAATCTAGTCTGTAATGTATAGTTGTTTTATTTTTTTGGTAGCATTTTAATATGCCATTAACTCAGCAGTTTTTAAAGATACTTTAGAAATAAAAGATTGTGATGGAATCTATTCATGTGAAATTGTTGGAGAAAAGCATGCCTTTTAAACAACAATGAATTATTTGAACCGAATGAAGACGTTTACCACCCACAGAAACAATCTAATTTCTTCTCAAGAAAATGAAAGCATGCCCAATAAGGAATGTGCATTTACATAAAAGGGATCAGTGAGTCGAGGATTCTGACCAGAACAGAGTTGTGCTTGGAATTGAGAATCACTGAGCATTTGAAAATGTAAGCTGGATTCTTACCGAGGACAAAGCACATCTTGATTTTGAGAAAGGCAATAAAGATTTTAAAATATAATAACTTCATTATAATTTTTCATCTTTGATTGTTACCAAAGGAAATCCCCCCAAGGATCATGACAATGACAACAAATAGAATCTATTTTCTTTCTTTCTTTTTCTTTTTTTTTTTTGGTACAGCAATGTTAGCTGTGAGGTGAAAAGAAAGTGTTGACATTAACTAACACTAACTTCTGAATAAAATTAGCCAAGCATTTTCATCTGTTTTAAGATACTGCGGCAGATTTTTAATATATTTTTGGATAAATTGATCAAGATTGAGTATATGAAGTTCAGATGATTGGAAAATTATAAAACCTAAAATATTTAGATTGTCAGCATGAGTTTAGGATGCTGAAAAGTGTTGTTGACATTGACAAAAGCTTGCTTATGATTAAGTAGTGACTATAAGTTGTCTTTACCAGTGTTCCATAAATTGTGCACACACTTTTGTTATATTCTGCTTAATTGCATATGCTTTGTAAAGGTAGGAACTTTCTTATATATAATTTGTCATAATAAACTGTAATTTTCTTCCCTTTCACTATCATTTTACTTAAAAACAATGAGAAGGCAGGACATGTTTAGAAGAAAGTTACCTAGGTGCTAACTTTAGTGGAACAGAGTCTTTACAAGAAGAAGACTTACTTTTTATTTAATGAGTAGAGTAAGTAGCTGTAGTCTTGTCTGCTTACACTAAAAGCAATTTGAAATGGCACATTTGCTGTATCATAACTGAACCAGCTTCTTATCAATAAGTAAAACATCTTGCATCTAATGTCTGTGCAATCAAAATATCTAAAAAACAATTTAAAATTTTATTGTGTCTGAGAATAAAGAAGCCAACACATTTTATTGGCAACTTCAGTCGGCTGGAGAGAAATTTAATCGGGAAATCAATCGATGTCTCAAATGATGTAAGTGGATTTACTGCATTTTGTTCTTTGATTTTCATTAGTTGCATTTCCTACATCAACAATACTGACCTTTTAAAAAGTGGTCTTATGGCTAATTAATCTAGTATGGTGGTCTCCTATCTCTTGAGTGTTACCAGATCCTCTGGAAGCATGTGTTTCACCCCCCTTTGACTGTTGTGGGTGATCACATTGTGCTGTGATTGAGGCCCCACACTTGTGTGAGCTGGATACTGAGGGGTTGGAATTGCCCAGTGTTAGAATACACAGAAGTGGTCACTAGTGAGAGAAGATGAGAAGTTTTCCTATGTGCCAGGAAAGAGCTGGAATTAGCTTATTGGAAGACCTCGTTCTCCTTTACTTTCTCTTAAGAAGATGATTTACTTATGCTTCAGATTTCATTAAAATAAACAGGGCACTCAAACAAGGTTATTGGAAGGGGTCCCTAATTGTGAGCTGGATTTCCTTGTAGTCTAAGAGTAGTCACACATCTAGAACCTTGCAAGACAGAAAGGAAACAGGCTGCCAGCCCCATGTCTGTGTCTTTTCATAAATCAGAGGTACTGTCTACAGAGAACACTGACTTTAGCACAGTGCAGACAATAAATTCTTCAATTTCAGTGATGTAATACTGTTCTTCACTTTGGGGAGCTTAATGCTTATGAATAAAGTGGAACAGTCATCAGTAACGTAAGAGTGTTTCAAATCAGCTATTGTACTATGAGTTAGTTTTTTGCCTACCTTAAAAATATTATTGGAGTGCCAGAGAGATTGTACAGTGGGAATAGTGCTTATCTTGTACACAGCCAATGCTGCTGTGATTCCCAGCACCTCTTATGGTCCCCTAAGAACCACCAGCAGTGATCTCTGGGCACAGAGCTAGGAGAAAGCCCTGAGCACCATTGGGTGTGCCAAAACACACACACATATGTATATATATGGGTGTGCCAAAACACACACACACACATATGTATATATATGGGTGTGTCAAAACAGTCACAGTCCTCCCGTTGTTCATCGATTTGCTCGAGCGGGCCCATTAACATTGTGAGACTTGTAACTGTGTTTGGCATATCGAATACATCACGGGTAGCTTGCCAGGCTTTGCCGTGCAGGCGAGATACTCTCGGTAGCTTGCCAGGCTCTCTAAGAGGGGCGGAGGAATTGAACTCGGGTCAGCCATGTTGGCTGTGTGTAAGGCAAACGCTCTACCCGCTGTGCTATTGCTCCAGCCCTATATGGGTGTGTCAAAACATATATAATATTTTATTTTTTTAAAAAAACATATTTTTTAAATAGACTTTATGAAGTTTGATGTGACTTATGAATAGAATAAAACTGACAGAGAATGTGTCATCGGCTGTAAAAAAGCAACTCTTAACCTCTCTTTCAAATTCCTCAGCTTTTTATACTCAAATATGACAGTAAAGATTTAAATTGAAAAGTGTACTGAATTTAAGCATCACTTTAAAAATTATATATAAAAATGAATAGTTTGGAGAATGTTATTAGAATTTTGTGTTTTTTTAAAAACAATTGAAAGTTAAGATTAAACAGTTGTATCTCTCCCTAGAAATAGACGTTTCCCTATTTTTCTGATATTTTGCTCACATTTTAAAACTATTTGGCAGATTCTAAGTCTTTATTATATTTTAGTTTTTTTAGGCCCCAGACCCTCTTTATTATGGAAGTTTCTATACACATTACATACACATGCATTGAAATATGTATTAATATTGAATGTATATTTTATATTGCAATGCATTTAAATGTATATTATAACAGAAGTCTGAATGATACTATTTAGAAAGTGAATAATTAACAGTTTGGGTCCAGATTTCTTTTAATGTCTTAAATGTCTATTCATTGATTATAAGTTTGCTTCATGGATTGAAATTTGTTAATTTAATAAAAATACATTTCTGCTTTGAATGAAACCAAGTTCAAAACCAAGTCTATTAGTTGAAAAAGCAACATGCATTAATGTTGAGATTATGAAGAGACTTAGCTAGTTCCCATTAACAGATCGAGACCTAGACTATCTCAATGTGAATAACTAAGAGTATGACTACTTTGAAACCAGTATAAATTGCTCTGTAGTCAAAGACACAAGGAACAGCGATTGACTACATTCATAGACGAGAATATAGAGCTAGGGAAATTTTCAAATATTAATTGTGGTGTGTATTAGTTTTTATTTTGTTCACCTCAACCATGCTTTAGATTTGAGGAATTACCCAGTTGGAAGCTCAAACAGGTAGACTTAAGCTGG